GTTGTATATGGTCTTTATTATGTTGAGGTAGGTTCCATCTATGCCCACTTTGTGGAGAGTTTTCTTCATAAATGGGTGTTGAATTTTGTCAAAAGATTTTTCTGTGTCTATTGAGATGATCATATGCTTTTTATTCTTCAACTTGTTGATGTGGTGTATCACACTGATTGATAAGCTATTGAATTTTAATTTAACTTTACAAATAAGTTTTCAGAGTGACTTTTAATTACTATATTTACTTATATAAACAGGAATGTAGCAAACTACATATTCAAATAAAATTTATAAACTTTATAGTACTACCAAGGTATAGATATACTTAAAAATCATTCAAAACTGCTCAAAATCATTGAAATTTTAAAATTATTTTCTTGGGCTTCCCTGGTGGCACAGTGGTTGAGAGTCCGCGTGCCGATGTAGGGGACATGGGTTCGTGCCCCGGTCCCAGAAGATCCCACATGCCGCGGAGTGGCTGGGCCCGTAAGCCATGGCCGCTGAGCCTGAGCGTCCGGAGCCTGTTCTCCGCAACAGGAGAGGCTACAACAGCTAGAGGCCCGTGTACCACAAAAAAAAAAAAAAAATTTATTTTCTTAATATTTACTTTTAGATACTTAACTTTTAATTTTGTTTCATATCATACAATAAAATTTTTTCAGAAAATAATTTTTAATTTCACTGCTGATATTCATCTAGATATTGTAAACATTTTTTTCTGTTAAGCACTTGCTGTAATTATGGATGTGTTGAACAACTTCAGTAGAACTAAATGATAAAATATAACCTTTTTTGTATTTAATATGCAAATACAATTTTCTATTTGTATTTAATTCCCATAGCACAAATCATACTGAGACTCAAACATAAGCAACATCCACAAGACAGCCAATGGGAGCTCAGAAGTAAGTGAAGGCCACCTCTCACAATATTACTTTGAGATCAAGCAAATGATGGAGAGAAAGTCCTCCAGTGAGCTATCAAGTCACCATAGTGTGGAGCACTGACCGTGTATGCAGTTTGTTTATCTTCCATGAACTCAGTGTCAACGCTTCTTGTATGTATGATACACAAGAAAACCCAAAGACAAAAATGAATACTAAGGAATAAGATTTTGTTGTATAGGGTTAAGCTTTGGAGTGCCACAGCATTGTAATAGCAAAATTTGTCATACCCCTAAAAACTAATGTTTGTTCCCATGGAAGCAGTTAGCATCCCCAGTGAGAATGCATGATTTAGCAGTCATCATCAATTTGAATCTTTCTCTCTATTTTTGCATTAAATTTCAAATTTCC